GTACTTGTAGCATTCATCTTTACTTATTTATTTATTTATTTTTATTGTATTTTTCAAAAGAAGCTTCCTTTAAAAAAAGGCATTCCCACCAGAAAAATGGACTTGATCAAGTCCATTTTTTAAACATGATCGGCGTTTCATTGAAGAAATACGGAAGTTTTCTTTTGTTGTGTCTTATGAGTCACTCTTGACTACTTATATACATACGAGGGTAAACATAATATTGAGCTACTTATTCCAGGCCTTGGACTTCCTCTACGTAAAGCTGTTTCTGGTTCATAAAAGGAGAAAACGAAAGAGACTAATTTCACAGTTTCTGCAATCTAAGGATCGAGGGTTTAATTAATTGAATATGGGGGAGCTTTCACACGTCTTGAGTTTTCAAGTGAATTTTTAAGCCCCTTTTAGGTGAATGCTGTGAGTTAAAAGTTGTTGCTTTATCCACCTGTTTACGTCATGGAAACACAACGTTACCTACATGATAAAACTATCAGTTAATGAAACAAAATGGAGTATTTTGCTAACCAGGACCCACGCTCCTATTCTTTTTATTTCGATTTGAATATTTGATTTCGGGCCTGAAAAGTTATTGGGACTTTGGAGAAACGGCCAGCTGACTACAAGTTGTTGCTACATCTTTTGTGCAAAGTGACCGCCTATTCATGAAATCGCAAAAAAATTTGCCTGAGCAAAATAGTTGAATAAGAAGTATGCGTTAACAATTGGCATTAATAATTAAGCCAGTTTACAAATGGAGGAAGCAAGTTGTCAAAGCCACCTGTTTATTTCGGACCGAAATAGAACTGGTTTGCTAATGGGAAAAGCAAGGAGTAAGGAGTACAATAACTAAAAGTTTCTTCCAAAACGGTGAGCTCAAGTAAAAGCTGGCTAAACCCGCCAGGATCGAATACCAAAGAAACAGGCCTTTAAAAGAGTGATTGATTTATTGATATAAAAAAGATGCACGCACATCATGCACTTCCTTCGCCCGCAGGTGGCTAAAGCTCCCTGTATATTTGAGAGTCAACTGATAATTCTAACTCAACAGTCACACCAAAATTCCTTTATTCTATTAATATTTCTACATTTCTACATTTTTTATGCGTCTTTGTACTTGTAGCGTTCATCTTTATTTATTTATTTTTTCTTTTTATTGTATTTTTTATATACATACGAGGCTAAACATAATATTGAGCTACTTATTCCAGGCCTTGGACTTCCTTTACGTACAGCTGTTTCCATTTCATAAAAGCAGAAAACGAAAGAGACTAATTTCACAGTTTCTGCAATCTAAGGATCGAGGGTTTAATTAATTGAATATGGGGGGGCTTTTCACGCCTCTTGAGTTTTCAAGTTATTTTTTTAGGCCCTTTTTAGGTGAATGCTGTGCGTTAAAAGTTGTTGCTTTATCCACATGTTTATGTCATGGAAACACAACGTTACCTAAGATAAAGTGTTAGGAATGGGAAAGCAACCGCCAGTCAGACATCGTTTGTGCATCGTCTGAATGTGCTTTATTTTATTTACTTAAAGTTAAGCCCTTTGATATGCAGGAGGCGAGAATCACGTGGAAGGCACCTGAACCATTGTTATTATATTGTAATAGAAAGCCAGTTACCTATATTCAATAATATATTTTGCTCATTTCTTGCATATTGACGACTTTTTTCCCTGCCTTTATATGATAAAACTATCAGTTAATGAAACAAAATGGAGTAATTTGCTAGCTAGGACCCACGCTCCTACTCCTTTTATTTCGATTTGAATATTTGATTTCGGGCCTGAAAAGTTATCGGGATTTTGGAGAAACGGGCCGCCGACTAGAAGTTGTTGCTTCATCTTTTGTGCTAGGTGACCGCATATTCATGAAACCGCAAAAAAATTTGTGTGAGCAAAATAGTTGAATAAGAAGTATGCGTAAACAATTGGCATGTATAATTAAGCCAGTTTACAAATGGAGGAAGCAAGTTGTCAGAGCCACCCGTTTATTTCAGATCGAAATATAACTGGTTTGCTAATTGATGGTTTTCACGGTGACGTCATCAGATTGCAAAGTCAAAAATGCGAGGTTTTACGAATTCTTATTTACACTAGGTTGAAGATTAATAGGAAATAAATCTTTGTACAAGTTTCCAGCCCCGAAGCATGTTTCATTTCGAAAATACAGCAGTTTGAACTTCGGAGTTTTCACAGTGCGTGACACCAAAAAAGGAATGCTATCTCCTTGAAAAAAGTCTCTCCGCTTGATTTTCAGCAGTTTAACCATTTCAAGTATTAGAAGATATGTTTATGCGCAAGTATGCTAGTTCTCGAGTGAAAAGGAGGAGCTTTTATAGAAAAAGTGAACTCCAGATGTTTTTGTTGATTTCCGGCGGCCATATTGGTGGACAGTTTCTGTCCACCAATATGGCGTCTCCATACAAAGCTCTACAAAGGTGCGTGAAATGTTTCGGCAACTAACTCAGAAACTGTGGGCCACAAAGACCTGAGATTTGGACAAATTGTTTATATATTAGTCTTCTATAACATTTCATTTTCTTGGCTTCTTCCACTGGACGGTTTCAAATGTATTTTTTTGTGCCGTGTTTATTGCGTGACAGTGAAAACGAAGAATGGGAATAGAAAAGAGCAAGGATTACGATAACTAAAAGTTTCTTCCAACACGGTAAGCTCAAGTAAAAGCTGGCTAAACCCGCCTCTATCGAATACCAAAGAAACAGGCCTTAAAAAAAGTGATTGATTTATTGATATAAAAAAAGATGCACGTAGCTTACTGATTTGAAAACCCAAAATACTGTGCTGCACATCATGCACTTCCTTCGCCCGCAGGTGGCTAAAGCTCCCTGTATATTTGAGAGTCAACTGATAAGTTCTAACTCAACAGTCACACCAACGTTCCTTTATTCTATTAATATTTCTACATTTCTACTTTTTTATGCTTCTTTGTACTTGTAGCATTCATCTTTAGTTATGTATTGTTTTCTTTTTATTGTATTTTTCAAAAACAGCTTCCTTCAAAAAAAGGCATTCCGACCAAAAAAATAGGCTTGATCAAGTCCAATTTTTTAAAACTATCGGCGTTTCATTGAAGAAATACGGAAGTTTTCTTTTGTTGTATTTTATGAGTCACTCTTGACGACTTATATACATACGAGGCTAGAGATAATACTGAGCTACTAATTCCAGGCCTTGGACTTCCTCTACGTAAAGCTGTTTCTAGTTCATAAAAGGAGAAAACGAAAGAGACTAATTTCACAGTTTCTACAATCTAGGGATCCAGGGTTTAATTAATTGAATATGGGGGGAGAGAGGGGGTTTCACGCCTCTTGAGTTTTCAAGTGATTTTTTTAAGCCCCTTTTAAGTGAATGCTGTGAGTTAAAAGTTGTTGCTTTATCCACCTGTTTACGTCATGGAAACACAGCGTTACCTATATGATAAAACTATCAGATAATGAAACAAAATGGAGTATTCTACTAGCCAGGACCGGCGATCTTATTCCTTTTATTTCGATTTGAATACTTGATTTAGGGCCTGAAAGGTTATCGGGACTTTGGAAGAACGGGCCGCTGACTACAAGTTGTTGCTTCATCTTTTGTGCTAAGTGACCGCCTATTCATGAAACCGCAAAAAAATTTGCCTGAGCAAAATAGTTGAATAAGAAGTATGCGTTAACAATTGGCATTAATAATTAAGCCAATTTACTAATGGAGGAAGCAAGTTGTCAAAGCCATCTGTTTATTTCAGACCGAAATATAACTGGTTTGCTAATGGGAAAAGCAAGGAGCAAGGAGTACGATTACTAAAAATTTCTTCCAACACGGTAAACTCAAGTAAATCCTGGCGAAACTCGCCAGGATCGAATACCAGATTGATATAAAAAAAGATGCACCAAAACAAGGTGCCGCACATCATGCAGTTCCTTCGCCCGCGGGTGGCTAAAGCTTCCTATATATTTGAGAGTCAACTGATAATTCTAATTCAACAGTCACACCATTCCTTTATTTTATGAGTATTTTTACATTTTTTATTTATTTTTTCCTTTTTATTGTATTTCTCAAAAGCAGCTTCCTTTAAAATAAGGCATTCCCACCAGAAAAAATAGGCTTGATCAAGTGCATTTTTTCAAAACGATCGGCGTTTCATTGAAGAAATGCGGAAGTTTTCTTTTGTTGTGTTTTCTGAATCACTCTTGACTACTTATATATATACGAGGCTAAACATATATTGAGCTACTAATTCCAGGCCTTGGACTTCCTCTACGTAAAGCTGTTTTTAGTTCATAAAAGGAGAAAACGAAAGAGACTAGTTTCACAGTTTCTGCAATCTAGGGATCCAGGGTTTAATTAATTGAATATGGGGGCACTTTCACACTTCTTGAGTTTTCAAGTTATTTTTTAAGCCCCTAGTTTTAGGTGAATGTTGTGAGTTAAAATTTGCTGCTTTATCCACCTGTTGACGTCATGGAAACATAACCTAAGATAAAGTGTTAGGAATGGGAAAGCTACCACTGGTCAGACATCGTTTGTGCTACGTGACCACCTTTTTTTTTCACTTTTCAAGGTTTGCATAGATAATCAAAAACAACTAACTAATGGTCTAAGCAAGAAGTATATCTGATAACTAAAAAATTTTTCCCACACGGTAAGCTTAAATTCAAAGGTTACTTAACGTTAAAATGATAATAATAATAATGAAATAAATACACTTTTCTAGTATGATGGTAGACATATATGACATACCGGCATACTGCCAGTCAGCTATAAATCATGAGCAAAAATCTACCTCCGTTATACGAAACTACGGCGAGCTGATAAATTAACAGTCAATCAACTCTCCTGATTCGCCGTCTTAAGTCCTAGTTCAAATTAAACAGTTGTGAATTATAAAGCAAATGGCTTTACGTTTAGGAACTGCCATTAAAAAATCATTTTAAAGCTAAACAAATTAAAAACACCCAGGGTATAAGGCTGATATAAGTGTATCGCATTCAGCTACAGGGATGTTCAGCTTCTGGTCCATTGTTGTCTCGTGGCCTATTCGTTTGGTCTGTCGAATGGTTACTGTGCTGATGGTAGCGTCATTAGCGATGTCGAACTCTGAGTCCTGTGCGAGCGTATTTGAAACTCAAGTTGGTAAGTAAACGCACCAGTGGCGGATCCAGCCCGAGCCCCCTCTTATTTTTATACCAAACTGAGGCCCAAAGGGCCGAATAAAACCTTTTTTGAGACTGCCCCCCCGCCCTTATCTCAGGGTCTTGAGGCGAGGCTGCGAATAACAGCGAACATCACCACTGATGAAGGGATCGGGATGGGTTCCAAAAGCTTTGCTAAACTTTCAACAAATTGTTGGTGTTGAGGAATATTTTTTGCAATTGCGTGAGTTAGAATGATTCTGGGGCGTGAGCTTTTTTAAATAATTTCCAAGTGGTCAATAACATATTGAGATTTAGTTTTCAAAGTCAAATTACTTTTAAACTCCTCTGAAACTCTTCAATTTCATACACGCGGTAATATTTGGAATAAAAGGCACTGCCATCATTTTTTCCTTGCCCCAGTCACGGTTCAAAATATGGGTAACGCTAAAACCTTTTGATAAACCTCTAGCCAGTGCCGTATAGAGCAATTGTTTGCCCTATATACTTTGACACTGGAACTGTTGCCTGGTGTCTTTACAGAACCCCCCAAAAATCTATGCGCCATTTTATCACATTTTCTCCTTTTCGGTTAATTTTTTGTTTGTTTGTTTTTGTTACGTTAACTTCTCCTTTCCTTTTCTCTTTTTGCTCTCTCTTTTTCTGCCTGTCTTTTACGTAAGTATTTATAAATTTCTTTCCTTCTTTCTCTCTTTTTTCTTTCTTTCTTTCCTTCTTTCTCTCTTTTTTCTTTCTTTCTTTCTTTCTTTCTTTCTTTCTCTCTCTTTTTCTTTAGTTATTTGTTTCTGCTTTGACAATACCTGCTTGTATAGCATCTTAGTAAAACAATTATCTGTATTATTTCGAAGATGGACCACAACAAAATCATGTGAAAATAATCTTCCTGCTTCATGATAAGCTCAACGGTTTTATTGTGTAATCCTTCGTTTTCTTATCCGGTTTTCAGACCATACTTTGGTTGGTCATGTCATGAATACGTCTACTGTGGCTAACAAGTTTGAATGTCATCAAAAATGCATCGGAAACAACAACTGCAAGTCGTTCAATGTTCATCCTGGTGTGGATATCACAAAACGCGTTTGTGATCTGAACAACAAAACACGGGAGATGAAGCCGGGTGACTACATAAAGAAGAAAGGATCTTCTTATTATGGACACATTAAGGTCAGTTCCGTCTTACGTAAAAGAAACGCAATACTATTTTCAAAAGTGTTTAAAGAAAGCTAGTTAAAATGCTGATGAAAAGACCTGTTGGGGCACGTCAAATCCAGGATGAGATTTGAACAGGTTGTAATGGCTCAGTCAATTCCAAGCGTGTCCATCCCCCTCTCGGGCATTTGTCATCTCGTCAGTCTCGGCGGTGGGGAATTTGTCGGAAAACCTCTGCCTGGGGTGGGGCATTTGTCAATTCTTCTAGAAGCGGCTAACAGTGTTCTTTTTTTAATATTTCATCCAAAATATGCCTATATAGATAGCTATAGATATTTCTTTGAAGATCATTTTTAATACGTATACTTTATTGTAAAGATTCGTGTGGTTGTCGCTCTGTCACCACCTTACATACACAGTAATTTTTGGCATCCGTCTACGAAATTGCTGGCGCCTTCATGGTCAGTTCGCACATGGAGGAAAAACAATCAATGCATCGTTTGAAGAGTTTAAAGGAAAGGACACTTTTTCGGTGAGCCATGAAGAGTTGAGGCAGAAAGGCCTAAAAAAACTCTGCGAGATATTTGAAGGCTAATAGAATGCACCTATCAATGTAAACCCCGTGAGGGGGGAGTGCGGGCAAGGGGTGGGGATTTGACAAATTTTGAAATTTTTTGATCAAATTTCCCAGGGTGAGAAACGAATGGTTGATCAAAAGTGTCAAAAAAGCTCCCACCCCAGGGGAAAAATCTAAACAAACAATACTATAACACTATATAAAACAAATTAAAAGAATATTTTAAAAGTACGTTCTTACTACCTTTATTTATGGTTAACGTAAGCTACGTTAAATTACTCGCTGTAATTAAGTATTTTCTCTCTCCACTAGCATCTCCTATTTCGAACAACAAAATCACTCCAGGAAGATTGACTGTGCTATTATAATATTAATGAAACGTAAAATGCTTTATAACATCTGCTCAACATGTCGGAACAGGTCGGATCAGTGACCCGTAAAAAATCCTCTCACTTTCATGGTGGAATTCGATTTCAATCGAGTTTTACAATCAGATGGGAACTTGAAGATAAAACCTTTCTCAAAATAGACATTATTAACTTCATACCTTTCTCCAACAGCGTGACTTTCAGAAAGCCTCGAGGGACGGACTTGGTAACCGCTTCTGAATTGATACCAGGCTTCTGTCCCGACCCCGGGGTTGCTTCGCACGATCAAAAGCCCGACAGGGGGATAGTCCCAGGCATCAAATAACCGCCCCTTGCCCGCACTCCCCCCTCACGGGATTTACATTGATAGCTGCATAAACTTCGTGTTTTGTGAGATCAATGCTACGATTAATAAGTTGACGGAAAGGTTCCACCTTGATGAGAAAATACTCATGTTAATCTCGTCGGTTGTTTGTTTATCATTAACTATTTTAAATACCTTCGAAAATAAAGGTAGTATCAAAATTGTATTTTTTTTATAGTACTGTCATTGATATTAATCAAGTGGATGTGAATTTTGCAATAAATTTATCTAGTTGCTAGAGGCGATTTGCGACGGTTGCTTCAGGCAAAGATTTCATATCAACATGGCATTAGCTACTTATTTACTGGAAAATGCAATTTCGGTGCTGTTATGGCGTGGGGCCTTTCAACACTTTTCATCATTGTTGCTGCTACTGGACGGAAAAATGGATTTGCACCAAAATTGCTCGGCGCAAATTTGATGCAAAAGAGTGTAAACTAAGGAGTAAATGCCACATTTGCATACCTATTTCAACACGGGGGCCGGTAGACAGGTATCGAAATTTGGCATTTATTACCTTTGCACAGATTTATTCCTTAGTTTGCACTTTTTTGCTTCATATTTGCGGTGAGCAAATTTGGTGCAAATCCATTTTTTCGTCCGCTAATAGAAAAAAGCGTCGAAAACGAAAATGAACTCAATCCTTGTTGTTAGTCAATTAAATTGTTTTTTATGTTTCTTAGGTTACCTGCCAAGATCTGTCCATTAATAATAAAAAACGAACTCCAAGTAAGTAAAACCAGTCTATTACTTCTTACCCTGCGTGGGAGGCGTTAAAAGGGGAAGAGACATGAGGAAATGGGGCGTGCGATCGCGAGGAGAGGGGAAAACAAACGCCTGCAACGACGTTATTGTTTTCACCAAACTACTTCCTCAAATTGATATGTAAAGATGAGATGACTGCGAATTGTTTGGCTATCGAATAACATTTCAATCAAAAACAATTGTGCGGGGACACTCAGTCAACGTCGTCTGTTGTGTTTATCAAACGATTTTGATAATCTAATATTGACAACAACACGATTTGTTCAAACCATCGCTGAGGAGCTGTAATCCAGTATAATTCGTTTTAAAAGAGTCGTCCAGGTTTAAAAATTCCTCATGATCAATTATTGATCCTACTACACACTGCAAGACTCGGATTATGTAGTGATTCGCAGGCAACTGATGGTGATGATCAGTTTCATGACCATGCACTAAATAGAAGCGAAGCTGGACTATTGTACAGCTTCGAGGCAACCTACCTAACGATAAATCGTGTCAAGGGTAGATCATATGTTCGACTCTTATCATGGAGATTCGGACACCTTTTCCCAAAATTTTCTGTTTTCGCTTGTAATTTTTTTTGTTGGCTAATTGCATGTATATTTGTTCTGATAAATCTACAGTTGCTGCCTTAATCACACAAAAACCCTCATCTATGGTCGCTGAAGTAGGGGGAAACGTGATCTTACCATGCCATACTGGTCTGCTACTACCAACGATTACGTGGCGAAGAGCGTTTGGTTCCCTACCAAAAGGAAAGACTGCAGTAGTCGATGGAAACTTGACAATTCGCAACACAGCTAAAACTGACAAGGGTGATTACGTGTGTTCAGCAAAGAATTTTCTTGGCCAGGACTCCGTTGTTGCTCAGTTGATAGTGATTGACAGGCTCACATTTACCCTTACTCCTCCCCAGAAAGTTATTGTATCACAGTCAAGCAACTTGTTGTTAAACTGTGCCGCTCAAGGTAACAGTGAGATCACATGGAAGAGAACTGGAAAAGGCTTACCTCACAGCCACTTGAATTATTCAAATGGAACTTTGCTCCTCAGGAGCGTAGTTACAAACGATGCCGGAACATATTCTTGCGTGGCCAAGAACGCACTTCGTTCGGTTGAAGCAACTTCTGTTGTTGAAGTTTACAACAACCCTTTGTCCTGTAGTAGAATAAAATCAGGCCGCAGTGGAAGCTCTTCAGGTAATTATATTATTGACCCTGATGGCAAAGGAGGCGTGGCTCCGTTCAGTGTGTATTGTGACATGAGGTACAAAGGAAGAGTTGGCGTGACAGTCATAAGTCACGACAGCGAAATTAGAACCCACGTGAATAATGTCAGTCCTGGTTGTTTTCCCCAAGGTTGCTACAGTAAAAATGTAACTTACACTGGAGTTGGCACAGCTCAGTTGGCAGCACTTACTCGAGTCTCACAGAACTGTGAACAGTTTATCAAGTTTGAATGCAATGGTGACGTCCTTTTTATTGAGAATTCATATGCCTGGTGGGTGTCACGTAACGGAACACGCATGAACTACTGGGGTGGAGCTACCGGATATAACAACATGTGCGCATGCGGGGTAACAAACTCTTGCTCCAATGGTAGAAAGTGTAATTGCAACAACTATGCAAACGGTTGGAGAGCGGACAGCGGTCTACTGACTGACAAGTCTGCTCTTCCTGTGTCACAGATCAGACTGGGAGACTTAGATCAATCACATGAGGAAGGTTATCACACATTAGGCAAACTCAAATGTTATGGACAGGCATGATGAACTTATTTTGCTACAAACAGTGCCCGTTGTCAGTCGGACCAGCACAAATTATTTCTCTAAAGATACGCACGCTACATGAGAAAGCTAGTCTAATGATCATTCGTTTAACACACCTAGAAACCTTAAAGGCATTTCAATTGAAATTTTATCGACCTTTCGTTCTTAAACAGGGGTGAATTTTTACAAATTCAAGATTTAAAGGAGAACGTAGAGGTTAGTGCATAGAGACTCGACCATTACTTGAATATTTTTTTCTGCGAAGGCCTTTGATAAGGTACCGCATAAAAAGTTAATACGCAAACTCAGAGAATATGGTATCAATAGTTCTATCAATCGATTGATAGAGAGTTTCTTGCATCAAGGACAACAAAGAATAGTAGGCGATGAGGAAATGTCCTCATGGGTTCCAGTAACAAGCGGCGTACCTCAAGTATCCGTGATTGGACCTATACTATTTTTAGTGTATATAAATTCCCAGCTAAATTACAGTCCAACGTTCGACTATTTGCAGAAGACACTATTGTGTATATGGCTGTGACTAACGAAACCGATGCTGCCATCTTACAAAAAGATCTCAAACTTCTTGAAGAATGGGAAAATAGATCCCAGATGTTTTTCCACCTGGACAAGAGTCACGGTGCAGGACCCCCGTCACCCATGATTACATCCTACACAACCAGATCATTAAGGAAAAAGATGCAGTTAAATATCTTGGCGTGACTGTACACCATAAGCTGTCTTGGAACGAAATATATGCTCTATAGTTAGGAAAGCTAATTCATCCATAGGTTTTCTCAGACGAAACCTACAAATTCACCAGCCTAATGCATACAAGACTCTTGTTCGACCACAAATCGAGTATGCGTCTACTATATGGGATACTTTCACCCTAGAGAACCAAAATAAAATTGAGATGGGACAGAGAAGAACTGCCCGCTTTGCTTGCAACAACCACAGACGCGAAGCAAGTGTCACAAACATGCTTGATGAGCTTGGCTGGCGCAGTCTCAAGCAGCGAAGAACAGACCAAAGATTAATTATGTTATACAAAATTGTAAATAACCTAGTTGAAATTGATCTTTCTAAAGAACTTATTCCACTTACGAGACACTCTAGAAATGGTCACGCCAATCCTTTAGAATTCCCTGCGAAAAGAAAACCTATCTTCAACACAGCTTTTTACCTAGAACTATAAAGCCGTGGAACAGTTTGCCCGCCACACTAGCCATAGCATGCAGTACTTTCCCTCTTTCTCAAACGATGCACTTCCAATTTCCGCTTCAGTTTACGCTCACAGTATTGATGAGGAGGGGTAATTGAGTTTTTTTCTTAAATATTTTAGGGTTTTGTTCCAAAGTTCTTTGCTCCATGCACTGTAGTGGTCATGGTCGTGATTAAGAACCTAAAATTATAGCATCGATCTCAGTGACTTCTTGTGTAATTATTTTTGGTTTAAACTTTCGTGTTTTTATTGTTTGATCTCTTACGTGCAGTCTTAAGTTTTCCCTCTCGACTCAAACCAAGAGTGGATGCTCAAACGATGCGCTTCCAAGTTCCACTTTCACGCTCACATTATCGATGAGGAGAGGTAATTAACTTTTTTGACTAGGCTATTTCCCTTGGTAATTAGTTTTGTTATTTCAGAGCCTGAAATACTCCAGAAAGGGTTTCCTTCGCGGGTTTGAACGCGCTATCTTTGTCATGTAACACACTCTGCTGTCATATGGATCATAGCTGCTGTAAGTACAATTTGGAAAGGAAGCGCTAAGTGGATAAACACATAAACACCTCAAAACTTGCTCTAAGCATGACCTACGCTCCATACTCATTGTACAGCTGCACTTGCTGGAAAAACAAAGCAATTAAAATTGTTAGATAGCTTTCAGTTTCCCCAGATTTAGAGTAATCATGTCCAAAATGTCCAAAATGCACCCCCCTCAGGAAACTAGAAATTAATTTAGCGATGATTACACAGTTTCCTACATTTAAAGTGTTTCTGTTACTGAAATTCAAGCAACTTCTTTCGAAATTTCTTGGTTACCTGCTGTTAGTATTTTTTTCACTTGGTTTTTGTTATATCTGTACATTTTGACCAAGTACAAGTAGTTTTGTCTTTTTTCTGTACCAAACCACCACCATCCTCGCATAAACCGGTTGAAGAACTTAGAAATCCCTTTATCACGTAAAGGTGTATTAGTTAATACCCGAGAAGGATTCAACGCTTGTGATTATTTTACTTGGCATTACTTTGAAGTACAGTAATTTATGTACATTTAGTTGGTTCCTTGTAAAGCTGTTATTGTTAATAAAAACCACGCAGTTGACTGTGCGAGGTTTGTTGAATTGACCTGCACCGCGATTCAGCCTTCCAGAACCGCGCCACGTGCACGATTCATTCCGGGATCACACGATTTCCCCGTTGACGAGGGCTTCCCTGCTCTATTATCTTACCTTTGTCTATTAGAAATTGACCAGGCATTAACAATTGCTGCTCTCCTCTCATACCAAGCAACCACTTCTAACCTGCGCCGCAGGCTTAGAAAGGGGAGGGGAAGGAAGGAAAAGGGAGAGGGGATTAGGGAGGGGGGGGAAAGGGACTTTCTCTCCCTTTCCCTTTCTAGCTTTTCTCCCCCTCCCCTGTTTTGTGCCTGCCACGCAATTTAACCTCTTCTAAAAAACAGAAATACCTGGAACTTCACTGGAAAAAAAAATAGTTGCGAGAAATTTTTAAATTCCATCTTGTATATTTGTGAGGCGAGTTATCAGACGGAGCAAACACCTCGAGGTCTTCCCCTGAATTACAGCACATGTATAATACCGAGCAGTGTTCCCGTGAATTGCCTTGCTTCAGTATTTTTTATAGAGCAGGGGCGTATGGTAAACATCATCATCATCACCATCGGTCGCAGCTTCAATATCTTTCCAGCTAAAGTAACTACTAACAAAGCAAATACGACATGAGGTCTTGAATTAAATAATAGCCATTAATAATAAAGAGACACCTTCTCACTATAAATTAAAACCATTATCAAAATTTTGCGATAAGGTGAATGGCTTTGGACAAATAACCCTGAAACTGATCAAGTTTACGTCCGTAACTGTGTAATTGACCCTAGACATCTGAAATTGAGGACAAGATTACTTGAACATAGTTAAGCTGACAGATAAGTGAATTTTTAGTTGTTTGAAAAATATATAGCCAATGTCATCAGTGGAGACCCGGTCAAACAGAAGAAATTAAATCCGAGACCTATAAAACATTTCCGCTGTCGTATCCACTGAGTGCGACGTACAATAACCCTTAAAACATTGATGCATTTTAGTTCATTTGCAGATGGGGTTAATTTTGCTCCCGTTTTCTATCTGATCATCTGTTCATGGAGAAATCAAAGACATTACTCTCGCTATTTGTCTCGTGGCGCTGATTCTCGTCGAGATAGAACTTCATGTTCATCGTCAAATGCTTCAAGTTTTAAATCAAGAGAGAGAAGACAGCATCGAGCTGCGGAAAGTAGTCGATCGTCAGGAAAAAAACATCGATTCTGTCTTGAAGTTGTTGCGGCGTGGATCATTTACAGGTAATGGCATACTTATTAAACTATGGCCTCGTCTTCAATTTTTCTCAATTTTTGACATCCATATGAAATTAATTTAAAATAACTTTTAAAACTGAATCATTTAAGCTCAGGGAAAAAAACAACCTTTTTTAGACAAAGGTGATTGCAATTTTTGGCTCTCTAAGGGAGACGACAAACTGAAGCGCCTTTGTGCGCTCTTCTGAAAGAGAAGGGAAAAGGAAGTTATTGCTATTCAGCACTATTCCTGTAAACCTGAGGCGGTTGCATTTAGGAAGGATTTGTTTAACACTTCCTCTTTTTCTGGAAATGTCAGACTGATCAAATTCTTCTAAGGTCCACATGGCGCGAAACAAAACAAGGAACACTAGCAGCTGACCTTTGCACAAAAATAGGATGACATCCTTAGGACCATTCTTTATAACCACGAAACATTGGAGAATGAAAGAGGGTTGAATAGGGAGGGTGGGGGATGGGGAGGCGCTGTGGGCATGGCTTACCAGCAGAACTTGAGAGAATAATCATAAACCTTTATGTTAGACGTGGCCCGAGTAACCTCAATTATAAGTGAAGAAAGAGAGGAATTTATATTTGCCAATGAACATTAATTAAGGACCTGGAGGTCCGGTGTTCAAGCCTCGCACGTAGCGTTGTTTCCTTAGACAAGGAACTTTGCTCCACTAGGCGACATACTGCTGGGTGTAACTCTGCGATGGATTAACATCCCTTCCAGGGGGGGAAAGCAATACCCCTAGGCATGCTTCATGCTAAAGAGACCAGGATAAGCTCCGGCCGGTTTGGCCTTTGGCTCGTTTTCGCTTTCAGTACCTTCACCTTTAATGAAGATTAAGGCTCTTGCTCTAACAGAACTGATTTGCTGATTACATTACATTTTAGACGCACATATCCGTCCAAAACGCCATCTGCAAAACAAGGATTCAAACGCCAGTAAAACCTTCACCAGGAAAGAAATTCAAATGGCCTGTACAATTTACTGTCCCAAAGGAATCAGGGTAAGACGAGGCCGGCCTGGACCCCCAGGCAAGCATGGTTCGCCCGGCCCTCAAGGACCTCAGGGGCCTACAGGTACTCAAGGAGATCAATGGCCTCCTGGACCTAAAGGCGATCAAGGCCCTCAAGGATCCAAGGGCGATCCCGGTGAATCCATCTTAGCCCCTTCTATTGTGTCACATCTGGTATCTATGGTGGTAAATGAAAACTGGTATAGCCTCATTTCAGTACGATGTTAAGGGAAATCCAGCACCTCAAGTCACGTAGCTGAAGCAGAATTCAAGTCTTCCCGACGACAAATGAATTGTTCAATGACGTGATGCGTTAATGATTACAGATGTTACGTCACAGGATCGTGGAGTGTATACGTGTAAAGCGAGAAATATTGTTGGAATGATGACTACATCGGCTACGTTAACTGTCCAAGCTGAGGAATAGACATTTATTACATTCTGAGGCCCTGGGAAATGATTTTTGGGGCACGAGGCTCAGTCAGTAAGCAAAAACATTGACCACTCTTGTGAAAATTGAAATTAAACCACTAAAGGAGCCCAACCTACTGTAGGCATGGATCCTGCTCGATATGACCCCTAAAAGGATCCTAAAAATTAAGGTTACATATATATCATGACCTATGCTTTTTTAAAAAATACAGCCAAATCAGAGATATCAAAAGATGCTCAACGAAAGTAAAAACTAAAAGTCATCTGCAAGCTAACTTATCGTCTTCCTTGCTGCATTGAGGTCTTGATGACCTTTGAAAACGTGTTTATCCAAATGAGCTAACGGGTTATCTTCAAGGGATAATCACCCAACACGTTTCTGATGTCCTAAACAGTAAAAAAACCAAGCCAGGACAGTCTTGTATCCACGGTTCCTAAGAGGGGTATTATCTAATTTATCGTCCTGTTACCTTACTTTAACCCCCAGAGAAAACACTTCCCGCATCAAATCTTTGTCCTTATCTTACATAATAATTTGGTGATAATGTGTTCAAACACATTGGGTTAAATTTGACGTATTATTTAAAAGAATACTTTATGATTTTAGTACACTTAATAATTCGACAACAATGTTTTGGTCTATTCTTTAATCGACCATAGAAATGAAAGGTGTGACCATTTTGTGATCATTTCTATAGTCGATAAGAATACAGACTAAGGAAAACTGTTGTTCGTTTGTTTTAATATACAATTACTTTTTCTCGACGACAATCTTTTTGGTCTATTCTCTTATTGACCATGGAAATGCAAAGTTATGACCATTTTGTGGTCATTTCTGTGGTCGATGAGAATATAGACTAAGGAAAACACTTGTCCGTTTGTTTCATGCAAAAACTTTCACAGAAAATCGCGCGAGAGAGAATTGAAAGAGTGAAAAATTGCACCACCATTAGATCATTTCCATGTTTTATTATCTCATTGACAATAGCTCTCGACCAATCATCGCACGAAAAATGGCTAAGTCATTGCAAAAAGGTGTAGTTTCAACATATAATGCTTACAAAGTCATTATGCGATTACACCATCGATCAGTTTTCATAATGAGTTATTCACCCTTAGTACTTTTACATGTCTCTGATGTCAAAGCTGTTTCTGTTTTACAGTCCGCGCCTTAATCACTCATAAATCATCATCGATCACAGTGGAAGGAGGACAAAATGTGAGCCTGCAGTGTAAAGCTACTGGTTTGCCTGCACCAAGGGTCACCTGGCGGAAAGCGTTCAGCAAGTTGCCGGTAAAGAGAAGCTCAATAGTCAATGGAAACCTGAGTATCCGCAGTATAACTAAAGCAGATAGTGGGACTTACGCATGCTCAGCAAAGAATGTCCTTGGAGATGACTCCGTTGTCGCTGTGGTGATGGTGATTGACAGGCTGTAATTCATCCTAATCCCTCTCTTCAAAGTAACTGTCTTAGAATCTTGCAAAGAGACCTTACATTGCACAGCTCAGGGGTCAATAGAGATCCTCTGGAAAAGAGTGGGTAAACAAATGCCTCAAAATCATTTTGTTTATCTAAACGGAACCTTGCTTCAGACAAACGTTTCTCCAAATGATGCTGGTCCGTATAAATGCATAGCGAAAAACTCGCTGCGGTCTATTGAAGCATCATCTGTTGTCCAGTGCCCAAACGTAAACCCACATCCTGTAGCGGTTTAAAATCAAGCTGCAGAGAAAAAACTTCAGGTAATTATATTATTGACCCTGATGGCAAAAGAGGCGTGACCCCGTTCAGTGTGTATTGTGATATGAGTGACAAGGGAGGAGGTGGCGTGACAGTCATAAGTCACGACAGTGACAGTAGGACACATGTGAGTGGATATGCATATCAATGTCGAGGTTGTTACAGTAAAGATGTGACCTACACTGGAGTTAGCACAGCTCAGTTGGCCTCACTCGCTCGAGTCTCATAGAACTGTGAACAGTTTATCAAGTTTTGAATGCAATAATGATGTTATATTTATACAGTAAAATGGTGCCTGGTGGGTGTCACGTAACGGAATACGCATCAACTCCTGGGGTGGAGCTACAGGGTACAAAAACATGTGTGCATGCGGAGTGACAAACTCGTGCTCTAATGGTAAGAAGTGTAATTGTTACAACAGTGCCGATGGCTGGAGAGAAGACAGCGGTCTGATGACAAATAATTCCGCTTTACTTGTGACTCAGATCAGACTGGCCGACTTTGACCAATCACAAGAGGAAGGTTATTACACATTAGGCAAACTCAAATGTTATGGACAAGCTTAATGAACTTGCTTTATTTGCTACAAACACGGCCCGTTTGTCAAAAGGAATAAGCTTCGGACCAGTAGTCACATCGGCGCAAATTATTTCTGTAAAGATAAGACATCCATGCTACATGAGAAGCTTGTCCGATAGTGGAGACCTAGATCCTAGATGGCATTTTGAATAACATATATGTCATCGAACTTTCTTAAGCAGAAAATAATTTTTTTAAAATTCACTAAATAAAAAGGGGACTTTTTTGAACATCGGTTAGAAAGAATAAGAATCAGCTTTTAATTACTTTCGAGAACTGCAATAAACTAATGCATCGAGTCTTCATTTCTGAAATATTTAAGGTTTTGTTCTAAAGTTCTTTGCATCATGCACTACGGGGTCGAGAACCCATGATTATAATATGGAGATCAGTAACTTCTTGTTTTAAACTTCCTATTTGTATTGTTTGATCTATAGAATAACTAAGGTAAATAAGCCCACAATTATCTAAAATGAACTCTTTTCCCTCTTACTCAAACGATGCGCTTCTAGGTGTTACAGGACTAAATGCGTCATTTTTTTGGTATAGACAAAAAAACGTTTTAGGTTCTAGAAACTGTCAAATTACTCAAATATACGAACTTATACGATAAACATCCTTTAATTAACTAGTTTGTATTTTTTTGGGAGATGGACTGCTGACATTTTTATATAGCAACAGGTTTATCTTTCTGAAACCAGCTAAATCAGCAGTTTATGGCTCGGAAATGGCAGTCTTGTCCCCACCTTGACTTGGGTTTCTTTTAATTTACATCTACTGTCCCTTATTGAAATAGCATGTTAATAAAGAACACCTATACAGTGATGGAGTATAAAAAGTAGAGGAAATCTGAAATTAAACAAACAGAAGAAAGACAAAGAGAAAAGACGGAGAAAGTGGAGAGGAAGAAAAAAGAAGGAAGAGAGAAAACAAAGGCAGAAATCTAGTAAGAACTGTGGAGGAAACGGAACAAGATTTTACAGTTAAAACGCAGTTATTGAAAAATTGTCGAAATTCTAAATGTCTCTTTTAAATAAATCGTCTTGCCCTTCTGAAAATCGTCTCAATCACTTCACACTGTCGAAGCACGCACACGTACTTGCCACATTTCTTTCACACTGGTATAGAACGTCCCTCATTGCTTATCTAAATATCACAGGTCCCACTACAGTTCACGGTCACAGTAAATAGACGAGGGGGCCTATTGAATCTTTATTAGGCTAGATCCTTTGGTTATTTTTTTCGCTATTTCAGGAACTGAATATTCCACAAGGATTTCTTCAAATCGTGGATGAATTGCTGTCTGTACCGTTAGGAAATGATTCGGTAACTGGATAAACATCTAAATTAAACCAGCTCTACACATGGCCCAGCTACCAGTAGGCATTGTATAACTGCACTCGCTGAAAAACTAAACAATCCGAATAATGTTAGAAATTCTGACTGATTTCAAGATGCATGCTATTAGTATTCAAGCGATATCCGTTGTTTACGCTTAAATCGCTTTTCACTGTAACATCAGTAAACAATTTCTTTACCTATCTCTTTAGTATTCAGGCTATTCCCGTGTTTTTAACTTATCCTGTAATACACTCTGGGATCGAAAAAGTCTCCATTATATATATCCCCTTTGGGTTTCTTTAACGTGGGTTTCGATCGTCAGGGACGTTAACTATGGGCCGTCGTCCAAACCATTTTTGATCAAAAGGACTTTTTTGCTTAAACGAAAGTAAGGCTATTAGAAATTGACGAGAGGTTAACATTTGGTGCCTCTTATTCATGCAAACCTCTTCAGTCGCCCTCGTCAAAAACAAAGACGTGACATTTTATAGTAGCGAGAAATTTTTAGCCCTCGCGCAACAAAGGAAATGGGTAGACTACGAGTAGTCCCCATTATTTTCTCTCTCCCCTCCACGTCTCGCTTTTCTCGCGTGGGGTGATTTTCACGCGCGCTTGCGTTTCGCTCGCTGATACTATCCCTGAGGAAAAATGGGGACTACTTGTGGTCTAGGAAATATGTAACTAATCCGCACGCAGGTTGGAAGTTTTCAGGTCTATTTATATAATATTCCTAACGCAAATTTTTACACAACGCAAACACCTCAACATCTTTCCCGTAATTACGGCGCATTTACAATAATGAGCAGTGTCCCACAACTGTCTTTCTTCAGAAATATGTTTTTCAGGCTTTCCTTAAGAGTCGGTTAAGGGGAGAGAGGCTGTGAAATTTCACTGAGGGTTAGTTAAAAATCATCAATCATCATCCGTCAGCCCGCAGTTTCTTTCTCCAAGTCTCTTCCAGTCTTTGCGGCAAAATAATTACATGTACTAACAAAACCAAATACAGCATGAATTTTGAATGAAATATTCAAATAACATCCACTATAAATAAGTACCTTAGTTTTAAAACAGCGTCATAGAGCTTTGAGTCACACTGGCGATTAAGTCACACATACATAGATCAATTTTCGTGAAACGATGGAAACCGGTATGGATCTGTGCCTGTTTTTAAACAACAACCAAGCATGTTAGGTTGAATGTTAGCACGTGATTGTGCACATGCTTAACTGAAAGTCGAAAAGCTGGAAAACAACTGTTCTCCATGTTTTACAATAAATTGAATAAAGTAATTAATAAAAACCTGTCTCTAATCGTCAAAGAAAGGTGCAAGCAAAGCTGTGGATCATTAAAGGTTTAAGAAATTCTATACTTTAAACTAAGAACATACCTTATCATACCTTATACAAATTGTACAGAAATAAAATTCTGACTCTACCGAGTTTATCGAGTAAGAAATTATGTTTTAATTACTATCTCAGGAAAACTTAAACAACATCAAGAAGACTTGGGACGGTATTAATAACCTAATAAATCGTAAGAAGCATAAAAAAGCATTAGCGTAATCAAGTGTCCACGAACGCAAGGTCTGTCTTATGACTTGATCCACTTGAACAAGCCAACATCTAAAATGCTCATTTTGTTATGCACTAATGGTCATAAAATTGCAGGCAGTATAAATGTGTAAATGTATTTCCTTACTACGCTTAAAAAAGTTTGCTGTTGTTGTTACAGCTATAAAATTAGTATGGGCCGATTTGCGGTCTCCCGGGATTTATTTCATTTAGGTTTTTTTCGGAGCCCGCAGCCGAGTTCCGGCTAGCTTCCGCGTTTCGGTCGATTTAGGATTTCGTGACGTGGGATCAAAATGAGGTAAGATTTCAGGAAATAGGCTAAAATACGTTAGCTGACAGATAGATCCACCATCACTTGTTTGGAAACAAGCCAATGTTGTCAATAGAAACTGGGTCAGATAAGGGAAATAAAATCCGAGACGGCCAAAAAACATTACCATAACCGTACCTTCGCTGAAAGTGGTAAAAACCCCGGCTGCGATTTAACTAAACGTCGTTAATAGTCAGAGCTCTCATTTTCTTCAACCTCCTAATATTCTGTTCATGGAGAAATCAAAGACACCTTCAGTCTCCAACCCCGTGAAGTTTTCATCAGTAATTTTTTCAGTCTGTTTTGCTGTTTGTTTCGTGGTGTTGATTCATGTCGAGATCGAACTTCGAGTTCATCGTCAGATGCTTCAAGTCTTAAATCAAGAGAGAGAAGACAGTATCGAGCTTCGAAAAGTAGTCAGTCGTCATGAAAAAAGGATCGATTCTGTGATGAAGATGTTGCCAAGTGGATTGCAGAGTGCCGGATCACCTACAGGTAATTCCACATTTTATATTGAATATCCCTTTATCTTCATGTTCTTAACTTTTCTAACATCACAGTCACAATTAAATATAAAATGGGTCACGTAGCAGCTGCTCGGAAGAGAAGTCACTAATGGTGCCTAACCCTGGCCCCAAACAATACTAAAACAATTGAAGGAATGACATGTCGTTGTTACTCAAAAAATACAAATAATCGAAAGACTATATTGTGGTGAATTTAAATTTGTTAGATTTTCTTCTTTTGAAAGATCAGAGAGAAGGAAGTAAAGTTGCACTATTCCTGTGAAGCTGAAGCGGTTGCATTGAGGCCCGGGGAGGTACTCCCATTCATTACCTATACGGGTATGTGAAGCCCAACGGGGTCGTGATTTTGAAGCTCCTGATTTAAAACGGGGTATCCATTTCAGAGGCGTTTTCTACAACAGAGTATAAAAAATTGTGGATCACGGCTTTATCTTCTGCTTAAAATTGTTGCTGATTATGAAGAAGCATTTATTTGATGTATAAGTCGAACAAATAAAGAAATATCTTTTTGAAAAAACAGGGCTATTTCAATTTATAAACTTTCTAGAACGGCGTATAAAAAATTGGCCCATTTCTAGAACGGGGTATCAGTTTTAGGGCGAATTCTAGAACGGGGTATAAAAAATCGGCTCATTTCTAGAACGGGGTATCAATTTTAGGGGAAATCTTTTTTTAGAACGGGGTGCCAATTTGGAGTCCCGGGCAGCACAAACCCACCCAAAAAATACCCAAGTGCCCCCCCCCAGGCATTGAGGAAGGATTTGGTTAACACTTCCTGTCCATTATACAGTATCAGCCGGAAAAAAAAAGAAAACAGTCACGTAACAATTAATAGGAGCGCTCGCGGCTTATCGTTTCACAGAAAAGAACATTACAGCCTAAGAAACCGTCCGTTAGGGCTACGAAGCGTCAAAGAATCAAAAAGGGGTGAGGAGAGGGGGTTGTGGGTGGGTTTAAAAAACAAGCAGAACTTTAGACAACAACAATAGACCTAGCCTGTTCCAGGCGTTCGGATAGTGGATCGGAACGCCTGGAACAGGCTATCATATAGACTCTTATTGTCACCTCAGTTATTAAAAGAGTTTAAACTATGTTTTTACTGTCTGATGAAGATAAATAGGCGCTTGCCCACTGAGGAACTGATTTACCGACTACATTACATTTCAGATACACACATTCGTCAAAAACGCCGTGTACAAAACAAGGATTCAAACGCCAGTGAAACCTTAAGCCGTAACGTCATCAGGAAAGAAATTCAACTGGCCTTAGGTAGCCTGGCCTGTACAATTCATTGTCCGAAAGGAACCAGGGGAAAACGAGGAAGGCCTGGTCCCCCAGGCAAGCATGGCCTGCCAGGGCCCCAGGGACCACAGGGGCTTAAAGGGACTCAAGGAGATCAGGGGCCTCCCGGAACTAAAGGCGATCAGGGTCCTCAAGGACCCAAGGGCGATCCTGGTGAATCCATCTCAGCTCCTTCTGTTGTGTCACCCCCGCTTTCCATGGTGGTAAACGAAACTGGTGTAGCTTCATTGCAGTGTGAGGTTAAAGGAAACCCTGTTCCTCAGATTACATGGCTTAAAGAAAATGCCAGTCTTCCCGCGGACAAACGAATTGTACAGTCTCATGGTGGCTTCATGATTAAGGATGTGATGCCACAAGATGGCGGAGTGTACACTTGCGTAGCAAGCAACGTTCTTGGATTAGTGAAAAAATCGACCACGTTAATTGTCCAAGGTAACTAACATGACCTTTCTTTGCTACTTATTGGGGACTTCATGGAGTAGGAACCATTAATGGGGTTCTATGCCTGAAGCTTTTTGAGAAGTCAAACCTTCTAGCGGGGTTAGAATACCATTACATCATAAAGAAAATGCGCGTGTTTTAGCGTTTTCAGCCATAAATAGAACTTCGACAAAAGTGTTCTAGCTAAAGGAGATTTTTTACAAGACGATTTGCAACGACGATTTTTGACGCAATAATGTTGGGAAAAATGTTCCATTGTAAAGATGTTGACGTTGCAAATCGTCCCACGTAACATTCCTCAGGAGCAAATAAAAGTGACTGAAACAGCTATTGGTAGATTCTAGGTTCGACTATTATCAAGGAAGCTCGGACACGTTTTCCCAGCATGAAACCTTTTTTTTTTCTGCACCTTTTTATCTTTGTTAGCTAATTGTATTTGTTCCTTAATATACAGTTGCTGCCTCAATCACTGAGACACCCTCGTCTATTGTCGCCGAAGTAGGAGGAAATGTGACGTTGCATTGCAAAGCTAATGGCCTTCCAATACCAACGATCACGTGGCGAAGAGCGTTTGGTTCCCTACCAAATGGAAAGGCTGCAGTGGCTGATGGAAACTTGACAATTCGCAACATAGCTAAAACTGACAAGGGTGATTACGTGTGTTCAGCAAAGAATTTTCTTGGACAGGACTTCGTTGTTGCTCAGTTGATAGTGATTGACAGGCTCACATTTACCCTTACTCCTCCCCGGAAAGTTACTGTAACACAGTCAGGCAACCTGTTGCTAAACTGTGCCGCTCAAGGTAACACTGAGATCACGTGGAAGAGAACTGGAAAAGTCTTACCTCACAGTCACGTGATTTATTCAAATGGAACTTTGCTCCTCAGGAGCTTGGTTACAAACGATGCCGGAACATATTCTTGCGTGGCAAAGAACGCACTTCGTTCTGTTGAGGCAACTTCTGTTGTTGAAGTGATTAAAACAATGAAGTCCTGTAGCAGTATAAAATTAGGCCGCAGTGGAAGCTCTTCAGGTAATTATATTATTGACCCTGATGGCAAAGGAGGCGTGGCTCCGTTGAGTGTGTATTGTGATATGAGTGACAAGGGAGGAGTTGGCGTGACAGTCATAAGTCACGACAGTGAGAGTAGGACACACGTGAGTGGATATGAATGTGTAGGTTGTTACAGTAAAGATGTGACCTACACTGGAGTTAGCATAGCTCAGCTGGCAGCACTCACTCGAGTCTCACAAAACTGTGAACAGTTTATCAAGTTTGAATGTAATAATGACGTAGCTTTCATTGAGTTGGGTTATGCGTGGTGGGTGTCACGTGACGGATCACGTATGAATTACTGGGGTGGAGCTACTGGTCAAAACAAAATGTGCGCATGCGGAGTAACAAACTCCTGCTCAAATAGTAAACAGTGTAATTGTCACTACAAAAATAATGGCCGGGGATGGAGAGAGGACAGCGGTCTACTGACAGATAAATCTACTCTTCCTGTGACTCAGATCAGACTGGGAGACATAGGTGATCCACGAGAGGAAGGTTATCACACATTAGGAAAACTCAAATGCTATGGACAGGCATGATATATTTTTTCGTTACAACACTGGCTGGATGTCAGGTATAGCTTATGATAACAGATTAAATACTTTCGGTAAAAAATATGTCAAAGAAATCAACCGTTCAAGGGTTTTAAAGAAATAGGAGACTGGTATATTGCAATTCGAATGTACTTTTATCAACAAGGGTAGTCAAAATATAGGTTATAAGATGGGATTTGCAGGTGAACATTTCGATCTCAATAGTAATCTAATAGTCCTGATATTCTAACACGTTTTTGGTACCTTTTATTCTGCACAAGTTGAAGTTATTTGTATAGCAAGTGACTTGACCGATTTTAGTATCAACTCTAAAGCTTTTGTCTATTGCGCATGATTATACGCGTCCCCATACGACCCAGCCCTCTCTGCCGGGGATCTGACGAATATCGACTGATCTTGCCGAATATTTCTCTTCGTTAGCATCTTTTAGTGATCCTTTTCAGTTTAATTTTTATCCCAAACTTCTTTGCATCTTCGTTAAACTGTTCAGATTTGCCCTGGTATTGTATGTTGATGACACTTGTTTCTTTATATGTTCTAGTTTTATACTCTGGATCAGTATCATTGGACTGATATATACGACAACAAATATTGCAAAGACAATCTCTTCCTTTTCACTCAAACTGTATGTTTCCGGATCCCGCTACGCATAATGTCCGCGTGCATTAAACTCATTTGGTGGCCTAACGAGGCTTTTTTCTGTCTTCATATATTGTTTCCGTAATTCCAAGGCCAAAAATACTCCATAAGGATTTCGTCCGCTGGTTTAAACACGCTGTCTTTGTAATGCACGCTGTCGTACGGATCATAACTTCTATCTGTGCCGTTAGGAAAAGACGCACTAAGTGGATAAACATCTAGCATCTCAAAACCTGCTCTACACATGGCCCAAGTTGCACACGCATTGTATAGCTGGACTCGCTGAAAAAAAAATTGACACTGAATTATTCAGTGCAACCTGAATGTTCAAAGTGAGTTAACGTTTGGATTTATATGTTTCGTTGGTTTTCCATATAATTTCGGTTACCTAAAAAGCTTAAGTAATTTCATTGTTTTTTTTTTTGCTCTCAAAATCAGCAGAAAGAGAGCACTTGCTTCTCTTTTTTCCGATTTTCTTAACTGAGCTTATGTCCAAAATTACATACTTTCTTTCCTTTGAAAACTGAGTGTGTTACATTTCGGTAAAATATTTTATGCGGTTTGTGTCCTCCAATGAACGATTTAAAGGCAAAGATATCTTAGCCGAACGATTCGCTAGAGGTTCATTATTCTCATCCATTAAAGTATGGAAGTTCCGTTTGCTTTTCCCGATTGCATACTCTCTTTCTGACTAGGTAAGTCAAGGCCAATATCGTTCCTTTATTAAATGAAAGTGTTAACTACAACAAATGTTAACAATACCCGTGGTGTTAAAAAACCTCCTTTTGGGAACTCTTCCATCAGTCTTGCTGGGAGTGAGGAACAGATAAATGTTTCCCAGAAATCTCCCAACGTGCTTAAAATGGCTTCAGAAAGCTTTATTCGTGATTTGTTGTTTTTTTATAGGTCTTTTTTCTCAAAATTTCCCGTTGGGAGCCCCTGTTTGTCGTCCGGATTATTTTCCCCTTGAATTTTAGTTCCACTTCACATCGTTCATTTTTCTTTGTCTCTTTGAACAAATCTACGATCCCATCGATCACTTTTCGGTAAATTGAAAATTTTGTCGAAGTTATAAAATGTTGGCTATTATTGAGTAGAATAACGCTGTTAGTTTGTCGTTCATGTGGGGCGAGTGAATGACATTTGCGAAAGCATCCAAGACTCGGGTTATATTGATAGGGAAGAAGTCTGAAAAAAGCGTGATACACGTGCAAAGTTGTTGTTTTGTTAACATGCTAACATAAATAAAAATACTGCTTTTTTGCCGTTCTCGTTGCGGTCGCCGTCGTATATTGTTCAGTTGTTGTTGTGATCGAGAAATTTTGCTACCATAGTAATGTGACGTCACACTTCTCTCTATTAGAATAGCCCACGTTCGATAAATTCTAAGTAACATCATGACGCTCTGAGGCTTTAGGGTCAAAATTGGAAAGTTTTCAAGACTCCATTGTCTCACAATTCGCAGAAGAGACAAAGAAAACCAAGAGAGCACAAAGAAAACCAAACCAAATATAGAAAAATGACCAAAAAGCCTCGGAATCATGTTAGAATTTTAATATATCGAACGTGGGCTATTGCGAGCCATGTTAGCCAATTTGACTTAAGATTATGATAGCTTACTGACAGTTTTCGGATGAACACAATCGACTTTTTCAAACTGGAACATTTTCGCAACTGAAGGTTTCTACTGAACTGATAATCACTGGAATTGATGTAAATTATTATTTTACTTTCTAAACACATTTTATTGTGTAGTATAACGCGAAATAAAGTGGGCCTGGAAACTAGACCTTTAAAGGCCTTTTTCGTTAAAGGTAGCCGTACGACCCCATATGAAAATTTTAGGATTTATTTAGTGCGTAGAAATAATTGTTTTTAGAGAGAGAGAGAAAATCCTATTAACAGAATTTTTGCAAAAGCCAAAAATGTGGAATTTTGTCTCTTTTTAACTAAAACACTGTCCATAGAATTTGTTGAAAAAAATGCATTGTCCCCAAGGTGGCCGTTGTGGCACTGTGTAGACGGAACTGACAAAAAAGCAAACATGGTGTAATTATCAAGTAAAGCAACAACCTAAAGCTACTCAGAAAATACGCCATATATGGAGGCCACAACATACAATGACGGGCTCAAATAACAAACTGTATCACAACTGTCGAATCTTTCATTCAACAAACCGCGGCTTGTAACCGCGATTCCCTGACTCTGCAGCGAACCTAAATATAGCGCGCACACGAGCTTGTATCTGTTACATCCCAAACCCTACGGGCCTGTTAACGTGGAGGTGGGCCCCAGATACGTGAGGTAACATGTGCCGGATCACCCCACCTATCATGTAAACGTGACAAATTAAAATGAGAGATGATACGGACAGGCAGCTTACCCCATTTAAGCGGGCTACCTCACTTCCCTGGGGTCCCCCATCTCCTTGTAAACAGGCCCTTAATGCAGTTTTTTAACTCCTCCGAGGCTTGTACCGTAAGCTCGTTGCATTTTTCCGCCTTGTATTTCACGCCATGGAAATTACGTTGCAAAACGTCTTCGGCGGGTCGTCGGGCTCGTTCGGAATTGAACTTCGCGTCAGGGATCATTTTATAAGAGTTTCCCAGGCACTGAAATTACCGTGTTACCATACTCATTCGTCTTCCATGCATGGAATTGAGGACCAAGGGTGTTTGTAAAGTCTATCAAAATGAGCGTTGAAAAGGCACGAAAAAACCAAACGTTTCGAGGGTGCGCCCTCTTCCTCAGTGGTTTAAAGCAACTGAAAAAAGCACGCGCAATATAACGTTTAAATAAAATTCAAAACAAAAACTAACATTACATGCCCCCGCTGACTTTGAGAAAATAAAGTTGAAGTCCGCATTCAGTCCGGCTGATTGAAGTGTCCGGTGTCTGAAGAAATAAATAAATAATGATTTGGAGGTAGCACATCCACAAAGTGGAAAACCGGGAGGAGTACCCCGAGAAAAACCTCTCGGAGCAAGGGAGAGAACCAACAACAAACTCAACCCACATATGGCTCGATGCCGGCATT